ATCATCATCATCATCATCATCATCATCATCATCATCATCATCATCATCATCATCATCACCACCACCATCACCACCAGCATAGATCTAGCGCGACACACTGTGATTGAGTGATCTTTCAATACAACTGTTTTCGGCTCTCTTCCGGCTTTGACAATGAATGAGAATTGAGTGGAAGACCAAGGGCCCAAAATCACAACAAATCACAATGGTTTTTAATAGCTTTTTGGTGATAGGGGGTGATGCACCCGGACCCGTGCTGGCCCACAAAGTGGGCTGGCATGGGTTTGGAGTGCATCACTTCATGTTGTACTAGAATAGATCTACTGCCACTTGATTCACCTTTCCACTAACTATAAAATACTATAATACTGTATTGTTATAACACTATAAATAGTGTTTGTGGATTACTCTTCGTTCAATAATTACGAAAGATACTCCTTTTTGCTTGTTTGCTTGTTGTTCTTCTTCTCCACTCATCCTTTTGTCGCCCGCTGCAATGAAACGTCCATTGGGCGGACAGGCGACGACACCCGTCAAGAAGGCCCGCGTTGAAACACCCGCCGAGACCTCCACTCCCGCCGTCAATGCCTCAACTGTGTCTGAAATTGCAGGATCCACGACGGTGGCCGCGGTGGCAGATGCTGGGCGCAAGCGACGGCCGTGGGAGCAGCAGCAGCAGTCCACCGCTCCATCGGTCGATGCCGCCGCGACCACGAGCGCTGCCGCACCTTCAGCTGCCCTGCCACGCCAGGCAGCGTCGTCACACACGACAAAGCCGTTTGGACACGCCGGCCGCGCGAACACGGGGCCGGACAGTCGCCATCCCGATTCCTCACATGGACCAAGCCATCCTCGTGGCGGATCAGCAGCAGGAGCCCCAGCGACGACCACGGCGACCACTCCTGCTGCTGCAGGCGCTGCGACTACAAAGCAAGCACCAGCGCAACGGAAGCCACCGAGCGCGAGTGTCGTCGACGGGCTGGATTACCGAGGATTGGACGAGGACGCTGACGCCGATCTTGGAGGCGAAGACGAGTTGGAAGATGCCGAGGAGGACGATCAGTCCGCGTCAGGTTCCGACGAGAGCGATGCGAGTGACGAGGACGAAGCTCACGAGCATGACTCTGAACTGGATGGTTCGGACAATCATGATGGTGCACAACAAGCACGAAAGAACGGCAAGCAGCACAGCAACAACAATAACAACAACGCACTGCGCGTGCTTCCACGATGGCTTGCAGAGCCAAAGATGATTCAGACGGGTGTTACGATTGACGACATTCGCGATCGCCTTGACCCGCGTGTTGTTCGCGCGCTGACAAAGATGGGCATCCAGTCCTTGTTCCCAGGTAAACGCTCAAAAGCTGTTGCTCCATGCCCCTCCTGCTGTGCAGTTTCAAACTGTGTCTAGCCACTGTATGTGCGTGTGTGTGTATGTACGTCTCTCAATTCCTTTTGATTCTGCGTACCTCTAGTCCAAGCTTCGCTCTTGCCAGAAATCCTTGGTTCGGCGTCCTCCGCAGTCCATCCAGGCGATTTGTGCGTGTCTTCGCCCACGGGCAGCGGCAAAACCATGGCATTTGCCATTCCCATTGTTAACGTAAGCATGAGTTTTGGTTGAACAGGTTCCTAGCTGTTGTCCATCTCTCACCGCCATTCCGAACCTGACAGAAACTATCCACTCGAGTGGTGCCCCGGCTTCGTGCGCTCATTTTGCAACCAACACGAGAACTCGCCGCACAGGTTAAATCCGTGTTTGATTCGTTAGCTCAGTTCACCCCCTTGACCACCGCGTTGATCACTGGCCAATTATCGCTCGCTGCGGAACAAGACCTTCTCGCGGCAGGCGCACCCTCCCGCTCGGTGCTTGCCGACTCTGTGCTCGCACTCGCGGGAAATCGCAGCTCTGGCTCGGCGCAACAGGCCACGCCCATTGTCCTTTGTGATGTTGTTGTCGCCACGCCAGGTCGTCTCGTCGATCATCTGAACTGCAACCCTGCACTCTTGGATCATCTGGAGTACTTGGTGCTCGATGAGGCCGATCGTTTGCTGAGCCAGTCCTATTCGGACTGGTTGCCACGCGTTTTAGCGGGCCGCACCACGCGTCACCAACGCGCCGCAGCCCAGAGCAGCAACAATGCATCCGCCACATTGGCGGGCGAGAGCGGCGGTGTTGGTAGCGCTGGCTACGGCATGGTGAACAATTCGTCCTCGCACGTGCGATCGTCAGACCCAACATCGGAGCACTGTTGCGACAATGTTTGCACGCATTGTGCGGCAACAAGAGTCTGTTTTACCGCTCATGCCGCAGTCGATCATGCGCAAACTCCTCTTTTCCGCCACCCTAACCAACAATCCGGAGAAAATCGCAGCACTTCATCTCGTCTTCCCTCGGTACTTTGTGGCAGCGCCGAACGCGACTCTGTCTGTCAAACCTGTTGCAGGCGCAGGGGCCGATGCAGCGACGGCCATGGACACGACGGCCGACGGCCAGGAGCCGCTGTTTGACGCGGACGGCGACAATGCTGCTCGCTTTACGCTGCCAGCCACGCTCACGCAGGAAATGATTGTGTGCCAGCTCGCCGACAAGCCGTTGGCATTGGCTCAGCGCTTGTATGGCACGCTTATTCGTGCTGCGGGCAAGACTTTGCCAGCCGACGACGAGGCGGCAGCGACAACCACGCCTCACCGTGTCGTTTTTGCGAGCGACGACGAGGAGGACGCGGATCCAAGCAATGAGGAGGCGTCCGCCAAGAAGCGTGGCACACCCCTGTCACGAGCGATCAAAGCTCTGCCACAAGCGCTGGTCTTTACGGCCTCTGTCGAGTCGACGCATCGCCTGGCATTGTTGTTGCGCAATCTCTTGAAGCAAGCCTTGCCAGAGCTTCGGGATATTCAGCTTGGCAGCCTTGTCGCCGAATTCTCATCGTCCCTGTCCAAAGACGATCGTGGCAAGATGCTCAATCGGTTCCGCACCAATCAAGTTCACGTTTTGATTTGCTCTGACGCCATGGCTCGTGGCATGGATATTGAGAACGTGAGTGGGTCTTTTGTGTGTGTGTGTGTGTGTGTGCGCGCTAGTGTGCAGATCTCACTGTTTGCTCACCGGGGTTTTTTTGGTTTTGTTTCGCATTGTCGGTTTGGTTGGGTGCTTTTAGGTGGCGGAGGTGATCAACTACGATGTGCCCGTGTACTTTAAAACTTACGTCCACCGCGTGGGTCGAACGGCTCGTGCCGGTCGTAGCGGTCAAGCGCTCACACTGCTTCGCTCCGAGGAAGTGGCTGCGTTCAAGCGCATGCTGGGCAAGGCTGGTCATTCTTTGCCTGCCAAGATTCGCGGCGACAGCGCTGCTCATTTTGCCAATGTTTTATCAGGTAGAGTTCGTTGTTTTGTGTTTTTGACACTTTTTTTGCGTTGGTGTTTGACGCGTGATCTGATTGTTTGGATGGTTGATTGAGCAGGAGGCTTTGGAGTCCTTGCGAGCTGCAATCGAGAAGGAGAAGGGTGGAAAATCGCGCAACAACGCTGCCGCCTCGAGTAATCCTGAAGCGATCGTGCAATTGATTGAGCGACCGCAGTTGGAATCCGCTGCTGTTGAAATCTGAAGAATGCTGTCGCCAAGCAATACAAAAATAATTTTCTTGTACTTTGCTGTTCGACCATCCCCCACCATTTCATCCTGCCGAGCAAAAGCGGTTGACAAGGGCAGAGATGAAGAGACTCCTGATTTGGTTTTCTTTTCAGTGCAAAATGCAACAAAACAACAGCAAAACGACAAACACATAAGCCGCAACATTTCGAGCCTTTTTTTTTTTTCTCCAAAAAAAAAAAAATTAGGCCTGGCCCAGCTGTTGGGGAATTGGGTTGATCTTGAAGTGCATCGAAATAAGACTGTAGACGAATGCTTTCAAGTCTTGCACAAGGTAGAAGAAAATCTTGAGACCTTCAGCATCGTTGCTGTTATCGACGTCCGACAATTTGCCTACCAATGGTTGGATGGTTGAAAGTTTGTTGATGAGTGCTTGCATGGTTCTACGAGGCTTGGGCGCATTCTCGCCCCCACCTCCCCCTTCCTCCCTTAGTCGTGGCTTTACCAATGACAGAGACGTTGAAGCTCTTTCGGACGCCGTCCATCTCAATGTCCAGCTCCTGCTTGCCACCGCTGCGCTCTGGCTTGGGCCACATGTTGCCGTCTTCGCGTGTGATTTCACTGTCGGCGAGAATGCGCTTGAGTTCTTGGAGGACTGCGCGGCTGACATAGACCTGTGGAGGGCCAAAGTGAGCTCTGGATTGAAGAGACAGTGCTGGTTTCAGGTGAGCGTTTGTTACCTGCTTGCGAATGATTGTCTCGCCGCGGTAGTGTGTGTTGTTGGCATAACGCAGCAGACCTAAATGCAAAGCGAGCAGATCGAGCGCAGAGGGAAGGGAAGGGGAAGGGGAAGGGGAAAGGGTGAGCGAGCAGTGTGGAAGATCGACGTCCAAACGCTGATCGCAGCCACCAGACTGCGTTTGAAGCGAGTTGAGGAGACCAGCCCCCATTCCTAACCCCCCAAAGTCCCCCAAAGCCCGCAGCCCACGAAGCGGGTACGGGAGTGGGAGGGGGAGATGTGCATTGTGCATTGTGAGATCGCGCCAAATCGTCGCTCAGTCAAAACACAGCGCGCCACACGACGATGACGAGCAGAGCATCAGCACTCCAAGTCGCATAGCAACAGCATGGCCAAGATGCACAGAAGAGCTGAATCGGGGCGAATCCGGGATGGACGAAGACCGCTCGCTGGGCTGAGCATTGAGTTTTGAAAAGCTTTTACCATCAGAGCTAAACTCGAATTCGAGGAACTCGTGTCCGAACTTGCCCTTGTGCCCAGTGTAGTAACGCAGATGGAAGGTGCTGTCGAAGGGTGCTGCTGCTGCTGCTGCCGACGCGTTGGTGGCGGGCGTTGAGGTATCCATTTGTCAAAGTGAGATGTGTTTTCAACAAGAAATCTGAGACAACAAAAAACGACTGAGACATGTTTGAAACTCTGATCTGACAAGATGCACATCAGCAACAGCATATTGCATGATTCATCGTCGTGCTACTGTGCTAGAGTGGCGTTTCTAAAGTCGCATCAACACCCGGACAACGGTTGGCGAGCTCCGTGTCGCACTCTGCCTCCCCCTCCCCATCTCACACCCATCCACCAAACAGCATCTGATAAAGCCACTACGCACACCGAGCGGAGATGTAGGTGCTCGACAGCCACTGAAGAATTTTCAAAAGCAACCTGCCCTCCTGGGACATGCTGCCCGACCCAAATCGTCCGCCGAACGACGTTCCCACAACCATGGAAAATAGCACTATTCGACCCCATCCCAGTCCTTGTTATTCTCAACCACACTTTGAGCCCGGGGAACAGTCAGTCAGTCAGTCGCACATGGACGACCACGACCCGTTGCTCAGCCCGTCAGCGTTTCCCGCCACTCCGCCAAGCGGCTTTTTCAGCGAAGCCACGCCGCGGTCCGCCCCACCCTCGCGATCGACGCATGGCTCTGGCGTTGCTGCTCAAGACGCGCCAAGGTCTGCCACTGCTGAGCGGGCTCCGTCCAGCGCGCCACGACCAATCTCGGTCTCGGCGCACCACCCTGCTACTGTTGGTGCGAACAGCAGCCATGTGCGCGATCGGACGCCCTTCCTGCCGCCGAGACACGCGCTGACCTCGACTGGAAGTCCGAGTTCGTTCCAAGGCCTGATCTCGCTGCCGAGGTCTGCGCCAGGTGGGGCTGCGGCTGCGGCTGCTCCTGCTTCTGGTACTGCTGCTTCTGGTGCGTGCTCATTGCATGCGAGCAACCAAGCAACCCGAGCATCACCATCAAGTAACCTGCCAGCTGGTCAGCGAACAGCTGCATCATCATCATCACCATTCAGTTCGTTGTTGAATTTGCAGGGCGATCGTCGGAATCGAGATCGCGCCGCTGCTGGAATCACACGAGACAACCGACGAGATGATGGCGCAAATGGATACCACGTTCGAGGCCATCACGACCACGAAGACGACGATGACAATGATGGCGCTGCTTCGGCTGCATCGCACCGATCGAGTTTGCCTCAAAACGCCACCTCTGCAGCCGCCGCCACTCCGATTGCCGCGCCGCGTCTCCGACACAGCCCATCCTCCTCCTCCTCCTCTGCAGTTGCTTCTCCTTCACGTCGACAGCTGAGCGCAACTTCTGCGGGGCACCAAGCGCCGTCCAGGTGGGACGTTGTCGCCATCAAAACCGAGCACCAACCCGTCGAGCCGCCTCGCGCTGCTTCAAAGCGGCCGCATGGCACGCCAGACTCGGCGGCAGAGCACCACAAGCGGTCTCGATCGGATCGAGATGACAATCGCCAGGTCCACGCGCAGGACAATCTCAATCTGACGAGCCAGCTTTTACAGCAGCACCAGACTCTGCCATCGCAGCAGCAATCGCGTGCGCGTGAGCACCCTCCGCAGCAACGGTCTCGGCAACAGCAACATTCTCAGCCTCAGCAACATTCTCAGCCTCAGCAACATCCTCGACAACACACCCACCAACCTCAGCAGACTCAATCCAGACCACAACAACAGCAACAACAACAGCAGCAGCAGCAGCAGCAGCAGCAACAACAACAACAAACACAATTACCACTCGTGCGGCAATTTGAAGAATTGGTAGACGCCTCACCACACTCGAGTGCAACCACTCCAATGCCAGCGTACAACACCAGCGCTTCGAGCTCGAGGTTTGACGTTTCAGCCTCGACAACGTCCTCAGTGCTCGCGTTTGAACAAACTGTGCGGCCCTGGCTGTCCCAAGCACACGAAACGCCTACCCTTGAGCGGATTGACGCACTGGCCACAATCGTAAGCCATTGACAGATTTCTTCTCTTGCCTTTTGTTGTTGGTTTTTTTTTGTTTGTTTTTTGAGTTTTTGTTTGGTTTTGAAATTTCCCCACTCATCCATCGGGCTGGCTGTCACTTGTCCAGGTCAATCAATTGCGGCACGAGCACGAAAAAGAGCAAGAATTGGTATGGAACTTGCGTTGTTTGCTGGTGAATTGAAAATCGAGGCGGGCCGACTGAATCTCTGTGATCTTCCTCCGGTGTGCTTTGCAGATGGAATTGTCGCTCAAACGAACTGCCAAGATCAACCACGCTCTCTACAAGATTTCAAAATATTCGTCGCTCATGCTTCGCCAGTCGATTCAGCCCGTCACGTTCTTGTCAGCATCCTCCGCCACGGATTCTCCAGCGGCAACAGGACCGACATCCAGGCGACAGCTCGTTTCGGCGCCGGCTGCTGCGACTGTGGCGGCGCTGCCAACCTCAGCATCAACCAGTGTTGTCCAGGAATTCCAGTCATCATCATCATCAGTAGCAGCAGCAGCTGCAGCAGCGGTTTCGCGTAACAGAGACAGCGACACGGAGCTTGACGACGATGACGAGCAGGAAGACGACGATCATGTTGAAATTCAGAGCGTCATTCCGCAGGCTGCTCGATCGCCCGTACGACGGAGCACTGCACCGCAACCTACTTTGCCGAGCGCCTTGGTAGCGACTGGTGATCGGCATTATTGCACGACACGATCCAAACAAGGCTACTTTGCCCGCAAGCCGCGCTCGCTTATCTTTGTTCCGCGACATGGCATTCTTCTGACAAGGTGGGATGCTTCTTGTTTCGCATGTTGGATGGCTCGTTTCTGCTGGTATGATGACTAACACTGCTTTTGTCGCACAATCTGCAGCGGATTTGATGGGTTGGTTAGTTCAAGCAAAGTGCGCGACATGGATTTTACAAAGTAAGCCGACGAAAAGGGGGGGGGGTTTGTGTTGTTGGAAATCGAGACCATGCCGAATTTCTCACACTTCTTTGGCATTTCGCAGAACGCCAATCTGGACCCGCGAGCAACTCTACCACAGTCGCGTGGAAGATATGGATGTCAACACTGACGGGACTCGCGTGGCGCTGGCTTTCAATGAGAATGGCGCTAGCGAGCGAGGCAGATGCCAACTGGTTGTTGGTTCGTTGGGCACGGAGAACAGAGCCTCCACGATGCCATTTACTGACGACGGCAATGATGCTGAAATTGGCTTTAACGCCGATCTCATTCGGCCGCACTCACTGACCTTCTTCCACACGAGGCCGCACTCTGACAAGGGCATCAACGTGGTGCGATTCCTTCACGATGGCAATATTGTGACTGGCGGCGCAGATCATCGAGTTGTGAGTTCCAGGGTTGCTGGGAGAGAAGCTGCGGGTTGATGCTAACAATGCTGGATTATTTTTTTTTTGAACGTTGGGTTGTTTTTTTGTTTTCTCCCGTCAGTTTCTTTGGTCGCTCACTGGTCGTAAGCTTCGCTATACGTCAAAGCTGCACGAGGCTCACTCTTCCGCCGTGACGGCCCTGCTGCCGCATTCCAATGGCAGAGATCTGATTTCCGGAGGCGCTGACGGGTATGAGCATTGAGCGAGCGTGGTTGATTCTCTATTTCGTTGGCACGAACAAAAAGGAACAATGAATCCGACGCTTGGCTTTCATTTTGCTTGTGCGAAACAGACGAATTGCGAGGTTTGACGTGGCTGCGAACTCTCTTGCGTCCACGGTCAAGGTTGAAAACATGACCGCCACGGTGAACGCGTTGCTTGAGCAGCCCAGCAATCCCAATGTGATTGCTGTTAGGTACATTTCCGCGGTGTTTGCTGTTCATCTGGCCTGAACGTTTTGGCTGACAATGTGCATTTGTTTGATTCGCTTGCAGCCGATGCTCGCTCCTTGAGAGCAAACCAATCACCTTGGTCGACAAGCGTGCGTTCAGCATTGTGCAACACTTGAAGCCCGTTTTTGTCTTTAACAAGGTACTGAGGAGGTGTTTTCTTCTCCTATTTGGCGCCTCCGCTTTCTTTTGCAACATCTGACTGATTGACTTCTTGTTCGTCAGGACATCTCGCCCTCCAAGTACGTCCAACCAACATTTGATCCAACGGGCAATTACTTGGCGCTGCCTTTGCAAGAAGGGCATGTGGGGATTTGGGATATGCGAAACACGGCAGGTCCCGTCGGCGAGATTCAGCCGCTTTGCCACTTGGGCGTGAACGGTGCGTGCCCTTGAGCTAGTGATTGCTGTAACAGCTGCAGATCTGAACCGCTGGCAACTCACTTGCCCCGCCCATTTTATTTTGTTCTTTCTGTTTCTTCTGTTTCTTTTTTTGTCTGCACCACAGCAAGTCGCGTCCTCCGCATTAGCTGGTACAAACCAAGCGAGATGGCCGTCTCCTCCACCGACAACACGCTGACCATCGTCAGCCTCACCACAAGCTTTTTCCAGCTATGAGCACGCGTCGCTCACATTGGTGTTCTCAGAAACTGTCATTTAGTCGCCGATAATATCGCAAATGCACGCAAATGTTTATTTGGTCAGTCTCCATCAAAAAAAGACAGAAAAAAAAGGTGGGGTCTGTTTCAGAGTCTCTAGTAGAACTTAGAACTTGGCAAGGTACTCTGCCATGACAGCGCGGTCGCGATCCAAGACATTGGCGCGAGCATGGATGCGTTCGATCGCTTGTTTGATTGTGCGTTCGGCGCTTGGCACAGGGCGCGTCTTGAAGAAAGCGGCAACCTCGTCCGCCTTCGCATGCGACGCAAAGCCGGCAGCGGCGCTGTTGATGAAGCTGCCAATCATGTTCATGTTGCCCTGGCTGAAGCGCTTGTCCAGCTCTTCCCAGCGGCCTTGCACAAACTGCCAGACCAATCCGCTGGCGTGACGGTTTCCTGCAAAGGCGCTGTGGTGCGGGACAAGTGCAGTGAATGAGTGTCACATTGATTGTGTGTGAAGAAAAAATACATCTCGAGGAAACCCCCTACCGGAAAGGGAAGATGCAGTCTTGGGTGCGAACACGGTCAGAAAGCGAGTATGCCAGGACTCGCTCAATCAGCTTCGGGTCGGACACATGGGCAATGTTACCAAGAACCCGAACCTGATGCAAGGAAAAGGCAGCAAAAGGTACACCCAGTAAGAGGATGAGGAATCTTTCAAGCTGCAAGCAAAAAAAAAAATGTAACTCACCTTCTCTTCGTGAAGCTCGGCAGTCTCGTACAGTTTGATGAGAGATTCAAACTCGGCCTCGGTGCCCCACTTGGCCACAATGCTGTACACCGTAGAGCGGAGGTCGGGATGCAACGCTTTCGGGTTGGCCAAGAACGCTGCAAAGCTTTGGCGGGCACGCTCAACGACAGCCGTGTCGCCGAAGTAACCAGCGGTGCGGACAGCCAAGGCCCGGAGCAACGACTGCATGTGGTCTTCGCCCTTCTCGGGAACATCAAAGTAGCCGCAGCGCTTGGCGAGCGGGGACACAATCCGCAGAATGAACGCCGACAAGGCCGCGTACGTTTGCGCGTCCGTGTTGGCCCAAATGGCGGCCACCTCACTCATGTTGCTGATCAGTTCGGCCCAGACCTGCAGCAGCAGCATCAACGGTTGAGTGAAAAATCGGCAATCGGGGAAAAACGCTAAAGCACGTCAAAAGACACGTCAAAAGACACGTCAAAAGACAAAGAGACAAGAAAACTCACATTGTAATTCGTCTCGTCAACAAAGAAACGGCCAAACTCGAGAGCATCGCTGGTGCGGATGATGCCACGCTTTGCAATGGCGAAAATGTCGCTCACGATGCCAAGGCGGTCGCTGGCAGTCACAAGTGCCGCCGAGGGGATGGCAGCAAGCTCGGACGCAGAGAGCTTGGCGGTCGAAGCCACATGTGCCGCGAGCGCAGTCATATGAGCGGTGGGGTAGTGCACGCGATACAGACCAGTTTGCTCCGCGTTCAGCTTGATCCAATGGTGAGGCTTCACCGAGGCGGGCAAGGTGAAGGAATGAACTTGGGACCTGTCGAGCACCCAAAGGCGTAATCACAAATATCGCAAGTCAGCATTGTGGGTGATAGCTGTCGCATGCCTCTTGTCAACAATAACTGCACACAGCTCTGCGCGTACGTCACGGCAAAGTTCATGGGCTGCTCAAGTCCGTTGCTTTTGATGCTGACCGGAATCCACCAGATTGGGCTTGCCTCTGCTGAGGCGGCGGCCGGAGAGTCGTCCAAGAGGAAGCGCTGCTGCGAAAGTGTGAACGAGCGCTGTTCATCTACAAATCACGACAACGCCTTTGACGTCAGACCTGATACAAGTGGATTGACAATCTCCAACGTTAACGGTGTGGAGACCTACCGCCTTCTTTGGTCAGCTCAACAAGGCTGAGCAGAGGGTAGCCCGTGTGCTTGGTGTACAGGTTCATGACCTGCTCGACGGGCTTGCCGCTGGCCTCCGCGAGAGCCTTCCACAAGTCGGCAGTCTTGGCATTGCCGAAGCGATGGCGCTTCATGTACAGACGCAGGCCGTTGCAAAAGTCCGTGGGACCCAAGTACGCTTCGAGCATGCGAATGACAGAGGAGCCTAAGCGATGCCGTGCAAACAATGAACAACAACAACAACAACAAAAGTGAATGCACCATATAGCGAACAGAGTAACGATTGTCGATTGTCCCGTTTTACCTTTCGAATATGAGATGGCATCAAAGATTTCATTGATTTCGCCCGAGGTCTTGACCTCGACTTCGATCGGATGGGAGCTGCCGCGCGGCAAAACAGCAAGAAGAAACACACAACCAAACAAAAAAATGAGCCACTCAGCGCACCAGAAATTGCATAAAACTCAAGTATCGCACCTGAGCAGTGCATCCAACTTGAGAGCAGAGGCATAGTCGTGGTTGACAAACTGCGTCCACAGCTGCCACTCTGGGAACTGACGATCCACAGCGAAGTAGGAAATCCAGGACGCAAAGCCTTCGTTGAGCTGTAGCCAACAAGCAGAAGATAGACATGTTAAAATCGGCAATTCGCAGCTTTGCACAAAAGAAATAGCAACACGTGCAAGTGCCGTACCCAAAGATCAGTCCACCACTCCATGGTCACAATGTTTCCAAACCTGAAAATGGTTGCGCAAGATCAGTATTCAAAGTCTCGGAATGAGACGCGCCAAACGGCAACACCGGTCTTACCACATATGACCAAGCTCGTGGGCAACAGTGATGGCCACGTTTTCTTTCGAGGACACGGAGGAGCTCGCATCGTCAATCAGAATGGCAATTTCGCGATACGTCACGCAGCCAAAGTTCTCCATTGCGCCCGCCGCGAAATCCGGAATGGCGAGCATGTCAAGCTTGGGAAGCGGATAGGGCATTCCAAAGTACTGACCAACAAGAAAGTGAAAACAAAAAAAGGGGGGAGGGTGTAACAATGAGGCATCTGAACAACACAAAACCCATTCTCGATGAAAGTTTACTGCCTCACCTCGCCATAAAAGGACAGCGATTCGACGGCAACGCGAAGGGAGAAGGCAGCCTGTTGCTTCTTGCCTGGGGTGGTGTAGCACCGGACCGGAATGCCCTCCTTGGTGCGTGCCTCGATAAACTCGAGCTCGCCCACGACAAAGGCAAGCAGGTACGTGGACATGACAACACTCGTTTGGAAGCGAACAAGCTTCTTGTTGGCATTGCTACCAGCAGCAGCCTCGGTCGCGCGGACGATGCGCTCTTCCTCAACAGGCATGTTGGAAACGGCGACCAGGTTTTCGGGCACCACGAGCGTGACGGCAAACGACGCCTTGAGCGCAGGCTCGTCAAAGCACGGGAAGCAGCGTCGTGCATCCGTTGCCTCAAACTGCGTGGTGGCCATGTAGCGCTTCTCGCCACCCATCTCGTAGCTCGAGCGATACAATCCAACGAGGTTGTCGTTCAGGGTGCCGCTGAACGCGGCATGCGCCACAATTTTCTTGGCCTTGGCAAGCTTGGACGCAGCAATTGGGAAGGTCAGACTGCACGTCTCGGCGGTTGCGTCCACGCTGGTTGCACTGCGGCACAAAACGAAAAGGTCAAACATGGTTAGTTTCGCAAGTATGTCAACGTCAATGCGCAATTCTCGCTCTCAGTGATTGTGTAGCATCAGTTTCTCAGGAAACGCCGAGTATGACTTGTATCCCGATAGTAGTCCGATCCGAGTCCTACACAGTGTGACTGAGAGAAGCAAGGACAGTTTGCTCACCTGGCTTGGATCCGGTCATCCGCGCCGTCGAGCTGGAGCGATGCACTGGCAATGGTCAGGTCGATCGCATGCAGAACGAGCACCGTTTCAGCAGCAGCAGCATCAGCAGCAGCAGCAGCAGCAGAGTCGCCGTTGAAGGCGAGGTCGATGGCGACGCGACCGTCGTACGCAGTCGTAGCGCCGCTCGTCAGCCCAGCAGGCAGCTCCAGCCACAGATCATAGTGCGAGGGCTTGAACGTGGTTGGCAGCAGCACGCGCGACGACGACGACGACGACGACTCGGAAGAGGTTGGATTCACGCTCGTCATCAGTTTGGGTTGTCTGAGACGGTAAGAGGGGAAATAAAAAAAAAAAACAGAAAGTGGTCGGAGTGCAGATATGGACGAAGAAATAGGAACCAAATGTAAATTTACCGGTGAGCAACAGTGAACAACCAGTCAGCTTCATTCGAGGCGATACGAAAGAGAGGTGAGAGATGACTTGTTGTCGTGTGCTCTTGTGTGAGGTCGCGCAGCCCAAACACAAGCAAGAGCTGGACTTGGTATTGTCCTTCATGTGTCGCGTTACTCTTAACGGCCTCGCGCGGTTCTTGCACTAAAGATTAGGCCCTTGATTGTAAAAGTACAGTACACTGATTTTGCCGCAGCATCAAAAACTACGGTGCATCGGAAAACACTCAATATACTGTATTGCAACAAAGCCCTCAACGAATGAGCCAATAGATGACAAGGAAGACAAAGACAACGAACGCAACGAGATAGCACATTAGCCGTCCATTGCCAGAGTTGGTGATTCCTTTTAGCCGCTTCATGGTGTTGCCAAGCAGGTTGGACGTGCTGGAAAAGTCGCCGTGCTGCATGCACACACAAGGAACAACACCACACAATCAGCAGAAGGCAAGAGCAGGCCTGAATCGAGGTTTTTTTGGCATCGTTGTTGTTTTTGTGTGTTGCTTTACCATATCATCCAACATGGCATTGTCTGCTCTTGCTTCGTCGCCGATACTGATTGTCAACTGCGTTACAAAGGACCAAATGAGCATTTGGTGAGCGCAACAAACGTTGAAATCGTGATAGTTGCTCCGTAGACATTGACTTGCCGATTTGAGGAGTTGGATCTTTTGGGACAGCTGACCGACAATGCGGTCGTTCTCAGACTCCATCATGTGCTCAGTGTGCTCGGCCAGCGCGCGACGATCCGGTGCGTTGCCCGATCGTGTTCCAAACAGCTCGTTTCTCGCATTGGACGGGTTTGTCAGACTGGCGCCGGACGACGCGGGGATTCGATCACTAGACCCCACCCCCAATACCCCGAGACAAAAGTATCATATCAGGCAGCACAAAGCAAAAGTCAGCACAAGTAAGCACAAGTACGCAAAAAGCAGCATCAGATGAGTGTATTCGCATTGGATGAGCATTGGGTTCGGTAGAGAAGCATTGGCCAACCACCCCCCCCCACTCCAGCACATCCCAACAAAGCGACAGGCGGACAGTGAGAAGCTCTGCCAGCGCAACGCAGAGCGCGCGAAGGTGGACAAGCGAGCAGTGGGGTGGGTTCGATTGCGTTGCCGTCGTCAGCAAGCGAGAACAGACGAGACCAGCTACTCGACGCGGCCACCAGCACAGCACTCGAACAAGGACAGCAAGGAGTAAGTGCAAGAAATGGGGGAATGGGTGGTGGCGGAGTGGAAGGGGGGGATGTGAGTAGTACCGGTAAGCCATTCGTCGTGTTGTAGAGTTGTCCATGACGAACAGGGGGGAGACTGAGCGAGTGACATGACAGGCATGGAACAGGATTAGGAATGGAAGCAAGTATGAATTGAAATTTGATAAACTACTTGGAAAACAGATGAATCAGGGGGAGCTTGAGATGGAGCAAGTCTGATTGTGGAGAATTCACAAGGAACTCAAACAGCCGCGTACCCGCTCCATCATCGCACAACCAAGCAACGCAAGAGCAAGAGCAAGAGAGAATAAGAGAAAGGCTCGAAGCAGCAAGCTCGCGGTGCTTTAATGGCAGGAAGCAGCGCCAGCATCACCCTTGTTGCAGCAGTCAGGGGCGCCAGACTTGGCACCGCCCAGAGTGATGTGGTGCAGCCAGAACTCAAAGTAGGCCCAGGATTGCTTGTCGGAGCTCTCGTTGTAAATCATGGCCGGCGGGTTGTTGATGCCAGGGACGGTGAATGCATGGACCGTGTTGCCAAAGTCGACAAACTAAAACACAGAAAGTGAGTTAAACCCTCCGTTTGAAATCTCTTGATCTGCTACGATGATACACAACAAGGCTACTCGAAACCTTACAGTAAAGTCGACCTGGGCCTCGGACAGCTCCTTGGTAAAGTTTTGCACAGCTTCGCGAGAAATCCACGGATCGTTGTAGCCGTGGAACATGGCAACACGCGTCTGTAGATAGAAAATGGTGAGTTGAAGCAAAGGAGGGAGCGTCGCAGACACAACCACTCCAGGAAACAAAAAAACACAAAAAACTCCCACTACCTTGATGTTCTTGTTGGAAGCACCGCTGAAGCTCTGGAGGCCAGCGTGGAAGCCAGCAACACCAGCAACTGGAGCATTGTGGCGGGCGAGCTCGAGGCAGCACCTATGGCGCAACATTCCGAGCGAAGGGGATTATCAGAAAAGTGACAACAATTTACGAAACGAAAAATAGTCCAAAACTTACGTGCCGCCGAAGCAGTAGCCATAGCAAACAATCTTGCTGGCGTCGACATGCGGGTGAGCAATGAGCTGGTTGAGGCCGGCCAGGGTGCGGTTGAGGGCAAAGGTCGAGTCCTTGGTGTACGCCTGCATGAGCGCGGCGGCCTCCTGTCAAAAATGGGACGGAATTCCAGTGAGGCCCAAGACACAAAGGCTTCATCGCAATGCTGCATGGGCTATCTGCGTTACCTCGTGGGTGGCGGCATGCTTGCCATCGCCATACTGATCGACGGCAAACGCAACGTAGCCCTTGCGAGCGAGAATGCGTGCGCGTTCGCGAACATAATCGCCAATGCCTGTGGAATATGACAAACGCGCCAAAGCAGATGAGCTGATGACTTGAGCCCGAATCAGATCCACGGTATCTGAGCAGCAGTGAGCACTTTGTCCAAGATTCGAGCTTGAGCTCTTTTTGTGACTTGTTTTTCCGACCCCCTCCATCAAACCAAACCAAACCAAACCGAAATTCCTTCATGCTCTCATGATCTCGAGATTTTCAACGCTCTCATATTGACAAGGTCGGACACGGTAGGCAACAAAACAAATCGCCGTGAGGTTTACCCTTCCAGTCGTGGATGATGAGGACGGCAGGCAGCTTGGTGCCAGCGGCGATGGTCGCAGGGGCAGCCATGAAGCCGATCAGCGTCTGTTCGAGGTGGGATGCCAGGGGGGTGGGGACAGGGGGTACAGTGTGACACACAGTGAGAACAGAACACAAAGAGCGATACAGAAGGAAGGAGGTCGCCCCGTTTGGTGCGTCGTAGTAGTCGTAATGAGTTGAGTATGAGTGAGCATTCAGTAGCAGTAGTCGCCAGTGCCCAGCGGGGGGAAGGTGAGCTCGAGTTGTGTTTGACTGGAACGAGATTGCGAGAACCGCGGCGTTGGTCTCTTCTCGCTGCTTCCATGGCGCAAGAGCAGTGTTGAATGACAGATGAAAAACAACTCGATTGGATTCCTGCAGCGAGAGAAGGTGGTTGGGTGAGAAAGGGACACGCACCGAGCCCTGATCGTGGTAAGTGACAGTGGTCTCAGTCAGCGTCATGGGCGTTGTTCGATTCTCGGGTTATGAGGAGTGAGCTTGGACCGAAAAACAAAAGCTCAGACAAGCGATAGGGTGACATGCGCAATCATCATTGGAAGTGGATCAATGGTGAATTTTTGGTTCAAGCGGCAATTTCAACCATCACAACGATATCATAAGACCGGAAAAGATGCAGCTGCAGTTGAGCAAATAGTTCAGATGCTTGAAAGCAAAACGCTCAGCCTGCTTGTTTCAGTGGCAGCTCGCTTGAGGAGCAGCATCCGAGGCGCAGCAGGCAGCTGCAGGAGCAGCGACACCCCCGAACGTCTCGCGCAGCCAAAACTCCAAGAATGCAAAGGACTGGAGGTCTGCAGTCTCCGTGTAGCGGAGGTGGGGAGCACCGCCTGCGCCAGGCACAGTGAAGGCGTGCACCGTGTTGCCAAAGTCCACGAACTGCGGCAGAGCAAAGCGAGGACGATTCCAAGACATCAGCCCACATAAACGCAAACAGAACACACATCAATGACGATGAGAACACTTCAGGCTTGGAAGAAAAACGGGTCAGACAACAGAAGCAATGGAGGCGTTACCGTGAAATCGACTTTGCCCTCCGACATTTCCTGTGTGACCTTCTGGATATCCTCGCGAGTCACACGCGGATCGTCGTAGCCGTTGAAAACAGCAACGCGGCACTACAAGGTGTCCACAATTCAAAACAGAAATAAGAATCAAGCAAGACATCTCGCCTTGCCATTTTTGCCAAAAAAAAAACTAACCTTGATGTTGGCGCTCGACACTCCACTCCAGCTCTTCACACCGCCGTGGAAGCTGGCAACACCAGCGACCGGGCCGCCGTGGCGAGCGAGCTCCAGAACGCAGGCGCCGCCAAAGCAGTAGCCCATCGCGACAATCTTGGACGCATCAACGCGAGGATGGTTGAGCAGCTGCTGCAGGCCAGCCTTGGTGCGTCCAACAGCGTAGTTGGAGTCCTTGGTATGGGGAGCCAAGAGAGCGGCCGCCTCCTGCAGGAATGAAAGCAGCAACGATTTGGTTGTTTTGTGAGGAAAATTTGAGGATGTTCAATATCGAGCAACTCCTCCCCCCCCCCACCCCACCCCGAGAATGCTCGACGATGCCAGCTGATCAGGCTGAAGGGCTTTTTTGGTACCTGATGGTCCTTGGCGTAGATGCCCTTGCCGTACTGGTCGAGCGCAAACGCAACGTAGCCCAAGCGAGCGAGCTGTCGTGCGCGGCTCTTCGGGTACTCGCCGAGACCTGCCAGCGACCATTTTCAGTTATGAGGAGTCAGAGTTTGAAACCAGACGAATCATCCCATTATGATCACTCAATCATGATCACTCAATCATTCATGATCATAGGAAGGTTGAATGAGAGGTAGTAGCTATTCATTTTCAATCCAATCTCCCGCGTCGTCGTCGTTGTCCGTTGTTCGTTTTACCCTTCCAGTCGTGGATGATGAGCACGGCAGGCAGCTTTGATCCGACAGCGTAGGTTGCTGCTGGCTCGGCGAGGAAGCCCTCGAGATCCTATGGTTGCAGCAGATTGTAACACGGATTGTGTGTCACACGAGTCGCAGTCAGTCAGTCAGTCACCCAGTCACTCACTCACTCACTCACTCGCCCAATCTCAATACAAGTGCATTTGTCTCATTTTGATTTAGTCATCCAGGGTCATCAAACTGTACGTACAGTGCCTTGGTCGTGGTACTCGATGCTGCGCTCTTGAACGTCCGCCATTGTACACACCGTAACTCCTGTATGAATTAGACTGAGTCGATCTATCCATCGCTTTTTGGTCTTGGATGTTGCATTCAGATGTGTTCGACACATTGTTCAAACCAAAAAGGTCCGAACAGTGAATTCTGAGAAACAGAGCTCACTCGACCTTTTTGTTTTTGTTTTTTACTCAGATTTGTTACCCTTTTTTCTCTTTGCTTCATTTGCCATCTTTTGTATCAGAGGCTTGAGTATTGTGTGTGCCGTGTATTCTATTTTGAAGCAACTGCGTTTGTTTGGCCCTTCGTTTCTGAGATGCTGAGCTCGCTGATACAGCGGCTGCGACTGCGCTCGAGGCGGACGGTTCCCATCGCAGCGGCAGCCGGCGGCATCCTCGTGTTCATCCTGCTGCTCGCATTCAACGTCTACTTGACGCCTGAAGAGCAGCACGACACAATGGCAAGAGGCTCTTGCTGCTTGTGCATCATGTTTGCGTTGAACTGACTGCACTCACACGCTGCTCTTCTTTCCCCCCCCCCCAAATGCAACATTGCAACAACAGGAGGAGATTGTCGTGCGCAACTCGCAGCAGGACAAGTGTCTGCAAGGGTACTACAACCGCCTCGTGCTGAGCAAGCAGCAGTCAGTGCGGCAGGCGCTCGACTCGCTGCTGCTGACGGGGCTGACTGCGAATCCAGCTGCTGCTGCAGACGACGACGATGCTGCGTTTTGGCGCGAATGGGCTCTATGGGTCGAAGGCGCAAACGCAGGACCTGCTGCTGCTGCTGGTGGTGCTGCTGGGCTGAGCAACCGCACCAAGGCGTTTGCCAAGCAGAACATTGACACGCTGGTCGAGTCGGTGCCGTCGCCCTTCCTCTTCCATTGGCACGCAATCAATCTCGGGATACCACCATGGCCTGAGACGACAATCAGCGAGGAGCTTGATGACAATCATCACGATGATCACGACCCAAACAAAGACCAGGACAGCCAGAAAAACCAGCAGCGTCGCACCAACAACAACAACAACAACGACAAGGACGACGAGCACGAGCATGAAGCAGACCGCGCGTTTGAAAACCCGATTGTCGGAAACGGCCATGTCTCGACAGTGATTGACTCGCCGCACATCAATGGTACGTGTTGCGTTTGTTTGAGCGGGAGACTGAGAGAGTGGAGAAGATGCAACGTGTGGTAGTGCCACGACGCACACTTTTTTTTTCCCTGCGCTGTTCTTTGTGATTGCGGTTGATAACAGGCCCAATGTGTATGTATGTGGCTCACTCAATGTGTATGTATGTGGCTCACTCTTTTATGACGGCAGTGTTGGGAATGCCCAGGACGACAACCAAACAAGCTCGCCCGGTCGCTGCCACGTCGTTTTAAGGCCAGCCTCGAGACGCCGCTTCGTGGCTCGTTCTCGGTGATTGACTTGGAGGAGCGCGCGGTGCATCGCACGTCCAGACCGCGCGGTGCATCGCACGTCCAGACTGCTGACTGCTACCGAGGCGACCACAAGCACCTCGGGCGATGGCTGCGTGCTTGCCAAGCAGACGTGGTATGCGCATGCCGAGCATCACCAGCTCCTGGTCCATGAGGTCGAAATCATCAACATGCGTGCCGATTCCATTCCCGTTTCTGTGGTCCAGCTTCCCCCGTCCAACATCGACCACGAGGATCTGGCAGCACCGGCGATGGTCAGCTGGCTCCCGCTTCTGAACTCGGACAATGACGACGACGACGACGGCGGCCGCCGGATGCTGAAAACAACCATTCTCGGTTACCTCGTTGTGACGGCACCCAGCGAAGCGCAGTCGTTTACATTCACCGAGCTTGCCGCCACCGATGAAATCCCGCCGTCAGCTCTTGCGTGGTCGGGCTTGGGCGCAACGACCGTCATGGTCATTGCTCGGTTGCAGTCTGCCACATTTAGCATCGTGACTGCGGCCACCATTGTAGCGTCGTCCGTCCAGGTGCTGCCAAGCTCGTCCCGTCAGCTGCAAGTCCTGCAGTGGATGGGGCGTGTTCAGCAAAGCGAAACGACGGGTTCCGCAGACCTGAACGCGCCTGACGCTCGGCAGGTGCTGGAGGATTTGAAACAGAGCGTGTTCTCAACTCCAGCCCAGCATCGACTTCTCTACGCACTCCATCGCAGCGCCGTGTCGAATCCCTTCAGCTCGAACGCCATCCAACTACTGGGCAGTGTGTCGCACCTCAATCACGCCATTCAACTTGCCCTGTACACGATTGCCTCCTCCGTCGGTTCTGGCGAGCTTCTTTCAGAGTTTGGTGTTGGTTCGAGTCCTATTGCACATGGTATGTTGTCGTCGTCTCTCGTGTCTGCGTTTCTGTTTTGTTGCTGCCGCTTGTTTTCATGGTTGCTGATTGTGTGCTCTTGGTTCGGGGGGGGGGTGCTCGCCAGAATGCAATGAAGGGCTGGTCTCGCAGGATATGGAGCGGTGGTTGATGCTGGCGTTGCTTCCGTTTGAGTCGGGCGCTGCAACTGTTCGGCAGCTGTTGGAGTTTCGTGCCAGTCAACTACAAACAGCCCGGAACGCTGCAAAGTCTGCTCTCCCCTCTGCAGCCGCTCCTGGTGCCAAGTATCCTACCTTTGGCGGACCGAGTGGTGCTGATGAAGCAAGCGTTGATGCCAACCTGATGGAGCTTGGTAAGTGTCGCGTGCCTGGACGGAAATGCCTCAACTGATCGTCGACACCTTTGCTCAAGTATGTTGATACGCCTGTTTTTGGTTTTGCTTGAACCTCTTTAGGCGCTATGGACGTCGATTCCACGTCATTCGTGGCGCTCGCCGTCGAACAGTTTGACTATGCGAAGCATGATCCGCGTTGGGTGGCCTCTGTGGGCCAGCCGATGGCGCAGTCCTGTGCCGAGTTTGGTCGCGCCAAGGTAGCACAATAGTCAAGTGTGCTTGTTTGTGGGATTTTTTGTTTTTGTACTGACATTTCTACTTTGTGGTCTCTCACGATACTGTTTTGTGTGTGCGTGTGTGTAGCTCGTTGGAATGGAGTTTTCAGGCAAAACTGTCCGCACGACCCGGGCTGCGCTCGCGGAACGATCGTTCGATGTGCGCCGCGGTTCGCATTCTCCAACAGCCATCTACCCTGCGCAACGTGCTGTCGACCACGACCTATTGACAAATGGACTTGTCCAGCGTTCCCTTCGGTACTCAGGTACAATTTGTGACGTGTGGTCGGCAGCTAGGATGCAGATGAGTTGTCACCATCTTGACTTCTTGTTGTTGTTGTTGTTGTTTTTTTTTTCTTTTTATTCCTTTTTGTTGTGGCAGGCGCAAACTTGGCCAGGAAGCCGGTCACCGCCGAGTACGGTGCACAACTCCAAAGCGAAGCAGACTCTGTGGCACTGCCGTTTGCCAAGACGGATGCCGACGAGAAGAGCCTGCAGCAAGCTTATGTCACCGAGGCAATCGCGCAGCGAGACGCGTCCACGCCAGCCAACCTGGCCTACTCGTGGACGCGCACCCGAAATGCACACTACCCTCGGCATGTCGTCTTCCCATCCGTGTCAAAGGCCGGGGTCACGCCTTACAATCCGGCGTCTGCGCTCGCGCTCGGTTTCCCCGTGATGCACCCAATGCCGTTGAGTGTCCGTCGAAATGATCTTGCCCAGTTCACCAGCTTTGTCAAGTAGGTGGACTTTTTTTCACAGGTGCATCTCCAAGCCGTGACGTGCAGAAGATGAACAGTTTCTCAACCCGCTTGATGATTTGACTTTCGCCTTTTTTGTTTTAGATTCTTGCCGCTGGATTCTGGCTTGCCGACAGATCATGCGCTCGCCGCCATTGCGGGATTTGAGGTTGGGGATGCCCCGAGGACGTCCTTCCACCTGCACCAGCTCCTGCGCTCGGTGAGCGACCACGAGCAGGCATGGTTGCAGTATCCCAGGTTTTACTCGACCGAGATGCGCGGATTGCAGTGTGTGCACTCTCTCTCAGGTGAGTTTTGCCCCCCTTGTCTTCCTTGGCTGTTTGCCTGTTAGGTGCTGATCAGGTTGGCTCACAACAAAGCATGCTGTGTACTGTCTTTTGAATTAGCCGCTGGAGCGATGCTGCAAGTCATTCTTTACGGGTCGCTGGGACTCCGCTATCTTCCCACTGGCGTGCGGCTCCGGCCCGTCCTGCCGTCGGAAGACGCGACCGGCCTCTCCTTCCGCGACTTGAAGTATGGCAGTTGCAGCTTTAACATTTTCATTCATTCGCGGCAGGTTGTCGTCGTTGCCAATCCAGCGCGATGTCGAGAGAAACCCTTGCTCGCTGCAACCATTGGCGAGGCCGAAACCCTCGCGTTCAATCCTTTGCCACTGAGTGCACCCATCGGGAGCACCATCGTCCTCGCGTTCTCGAGTGACGACGGAAAAGCCGCGGCCGTCCTCGCGCGCAGCATTTCAGTGGACGACTCCGCTCAGCTTGCGCCCCATGACACGGACGCTCAACTTGCCGTTGACGGAGCGTTGACACCGCATGGCTTCCAGCCCGCCGACGCGACCAATTCATTGGCGCTCGACGACGACGACGAGGAGCGCGGATCGGACGGCCAGAGCGCACTTCATGTGCCTCTCGATGCAATCATGCACAAGCATGGCGGCATCCCCGACGGCCTCACTGCGGTGATTGTAATTTCCATCATCGTCTTCCACGTTCTGCTGTTCCAGCTCATCTACCGCGAGTTTTGTCGTGCCAGCTCTGCAACTGCACGACGACGAGGCTCGTGATTTCCCCCCCCCCCCAACCAAAACAATCCTCACGCTATTGCTTTTTGTTACATGATGTTGTGTGTTGATTTTCCATTTGTTATTTCATTTACTAGGTTTTTCGATATTTTGTCTCAGATGTTTCAGATGCCACTCCTTTTTGTTGTTTTCCATTTGTTTTTAATATTTTATTGGTTTTTTTTTTTTTTTTTTTTTTTTTTTGCCTTTTGCTTTTTCCGTCATCATTCAACCATGCATCGGCTGGAGAGCCACAGAGCCACACATTCGCGCCGCTGACGTTCTGCCACGTGTGTCAAGCGCAGATGTGGGGCCTGTTCAAGCAAGGCCTGAAGTGTGTTGGTAAGGCGCTGGTCGAATGCTCCGTGCAGAACGAGACCCAAGAACGGAGACCGAGACCGAGACTCCCGTTCTCGCTCGTTCTCGCTCTCGCACGCCATGCACCGCATTACGTTTCGCGTCTCCCAATCTTGCGTTTGACTCGCTCGCTTCCATCAACATGGAGACTAAAACAACACCAAATCGTCAAACAATGTTTCCCTTTGATTGCGGTTCGTTTCAACCTTAAATTTTGTTTCCTTTTTGCTTTTTGTGTCATCGATTGTCGGCGTTTCACAAAAAAAAAAAAAAAAAAAAAAAAAAAAAAAACCTAACGAACACAGGAAACAAAGCGACGGTCGTTCACTACGACGACATTCAGCAGGTTGCAACGTAACAAAAAGAGCATTGAAGGACTGATATCGCTTCGATATCTGGACGCGAGCAGGGGGTTGGATGAGCTGTTGATGGACTACGGCTGGTGTTTGGTTGGCTACGGCAATCCGAAACTTTTGTTTGTTGGCTGCACGTTTTCAAAGTCCTTCTAACACTGCCTTGTGTTGTCATGTCTCGCTGCTTTATGTGTGTGTTTGTGTGTGTGTGTGTGTGTGTGTGTGTGTTTGTCGCTTCCAGAATGCTCGCTGGCGTGCCACGACCATTGCGCCAAGGACGCGCCGGCGTGCTTGGGCCTCGACGCAGTTGCCACAATTGACAGCTCGCCGACCCGCCTCCCGCCCAATGCGAGCACCCAGAGCCTGTCGCTGGGCCTGGGCACGGGTTCGGTCACCGCATCCACGGGCTCGCTGGGCAGTAATTTGTCGGCCTCGGCGTCCGCTGTCGCCAGTCCCGCGGACGGCAATCGTCACCTTTACCATAGCCTCAGCGTCCAGCCTCGCAAAACGCCATCTGCTGCGTAAGTTTTTTTGTGTGTGTGTGCTCAGCTCTAGTTGGACGTTTCACGTTGTATTATTATCATTGTTGATGCTTTGTTTTGATGGAAGTTGAGCTTTTTCTGTTTGGCATACGTTTCGTTTTTGCTCAACTAACCTCGCTTGCTCTGGCAAAACGATTCTTGGTGACTCATCGCCCATCGTACCGAATTGTGCAAAAATTGCGTCTCGCAGATACGCCCGATCCTTTCGCAGTCGCAGCCATCGACGGGCGACGCTTCAAGACTCCTGTGATGCGCAAAACTCATGCACCCGTCTGGAATTTTTCCTTCCACTGGTACGAGCTGCAACTTTGATTGATTGGGTTTTCGTCGCATGCCCGCGGTTGTAATGCCTTGTTGGCGCAGCGCACTGACTCGGTGCCTTTGCGTGTGTCACGATTCATGTCGTGTTTGTGTGTTTGGGCGGTTTTTCGTGCTTTTCATCAAACCAGCTCTGTCAACCCTACTTCCTCGATCGTTATTGTCGTCTATGACAACAAGCGGCTGGCGGATGGACAAGTCGATGCCATCCTCGCTGGCGCGAATGCGACTGCCGTAGGAAGTCTGCCCGCGTTTCTTGGGATGGCTGTGTTGTCAATGGCTGCATTCGACGCTGCTGGTTTGGCTCGTGGTGTTCAGCTTTCGTTTCGTTTGAAGCGAACGCATGATTCAGAGTTTGTGACAGGGGCCCTTGTCTTGGGAGCCAGGACGGCATCTGTAAAAATGTTTGCGCTTTTGAAGAAGGTTGATTGTCCAAAGTTGGCTTCTGGCAACTCATGAATCCTCTTTTGCGCGTTTGTTGTTCTCGCCTGTACAGGACTTGGCCAAACGATCCTCCACCATCTCTATTCGAACCAAGCGGACCTCGTCCTTCGCCTCGCCTATCACGTCGCCAATCACCTCACCGATAGCCTCTCCAACCGATTCCTCTCCTATTTCGCCAGGTGCTGTGGCCATGGAAGCAGAGTGGCAAGCCCGGATTGCAGCAGACGAAGCTGCGCCATTGCCGCCAGGGTGAGTGTGCCTGCAGGGATTTCGTGCCGAATTCTTTTCGCTCAATGGTTGGCTTTCTCTTTTGTTTTTCTTCTTTTTTTCGCTTTCTCAGATGGCAAGAGCAAATCGATTCCAGCGGACGGCCATTTTTCGTCAATAACGATACTCGTCAAGTCTCCTATTCATCTCCCAGCATTTTGTGCGTTCTGGTGCTTGGAAAGCGAAACTATCGCTCTTGTTTCTTACTCTTCGGTTTTTTGCTGGATTACAGGCTTGCATCTTCAAGAGACTCTGTTGCCGCCAATGAACGAAACAACCAACTCAATTATCAATACTATGCTCTCACACCTCCAAACTCAGGTGCCAATGGCTCTTGGATTTGCCTAAGCGTCAAAGAAGTGCTGCTCACGCTCAACCTTTTCTGTGTGTTTTGCGTTGACTTGAATAGGCACTGCTTCTCGGTCTCTCATTCCACCCGTGCCGTCAGCACCTTCAACGTCCATCGTTGAGATGCCAGCTGGCGACGACACCTCTCCTGTTCGGATGGCAACTGTTGAGATTTCGTGGGTCAAACCCGCCGCCAGCAAAGACGAAATTCGATTCGTTCTGCAGTGCATGCAGCTCGGTACGTCAGATGCTGACTTTCCGACTGCTGTTTCTTTCGAAGAGATTTGCTGTGTTGGCTCGACACTGACCTCTTTTTTGTTTTTTGTTTTTTTCGTTTGTTTTTTCTTCTTTTTTTTTGCTGTTGGTTCGGCAGCCCAAACGAATCGCAGATATCGAGCAGGCAGCGTTCTGAGCACTGTCAGTGACGTCGTTGATAGCAGTGATGACGAAGATTTGTTTGCCTTTACGGCACATGAAGCCAACTCGCGAGACGTTCCTGGTAGTCCGGCAGGGAGAGCTCAGACGCTCTCTGCTGGCTCCCACTTGTCCCGGCAACGAACCCTCTCGAGCACCTCTGCGACCCAAGGAGAGTCCCCACAAAAGTCATCCATCTCTGGCGCGTTCGTCGACATGTATCGTGGAGCTGGAACTGTCTACACGGCGCAGCTTGCCGTCGGCTATGAGCACTATTTCCGGGTGCGAGCCGTCAATTCGTACGGATCTAGTGATTGGAGCATCTCGTCGCGGCCTCTCCTGCTCGAGAATGGCAGCAGTAAAGCACTGGCAGACGGCTCCTCTGGAGCCCATTTATCGCCGCCATTCTTCTCTATCGCCGCCATTCTTCTCTACTAATTCGCAAGAAGCGTCGCCGGTAGTCGCTTTCCACTCCAATGTGGATGGCGTCAATGCAGCGTCAGCGGGCGGCGGCAGCAGCAACCACAATAGCAACTCGCCTCGTCGCCAGCCTCCCAGCAGTGCTCCGCTACCGGTCACCGATAATCGGCCCCATTGTCGGTTCTTCATGGCCGGACAATGCGTTCGGGGCTCTCGGTGCCCGTTCTCGCACGGAAGCGGGCCGCAAACGCCGGAAGATGTGCTCGTGGCCGCCATGGCTGCTGTGATGCAAAGCGATGCAGATACCAATCTTGCCGCTGCGATAGCTGCGTCTCTTTTCGAGTATGAACAGCACAATATTGAGGCTGCGGCCTCTCCACCCGATCCATCACCGCTGGGTCAAATGAGGCGCGACTTTAATGCCAAGCAGCGCAAAATTCGGTATGTCCCCCCCCCGCTCCCACCCTGATTTGTTTGGTGCGCGTTTGCAGCTCCGTTGGAGGTTTTATGGGGGTTTCAACATTTTCACTTGTTGTGTTTTTTGGCCGTTTCCTGTTTTCATAGATCTTCGTTGCAAGCATCGCCAGGCGAGTGCCACTTGAAAGTACATCGGGCTTCGCTTTTCCAGTCATCAGAGCGCGAGGTTATGAAACGGCCCACCAAGATTCTCAAGAAGCACCTGTTTGTGCATTTCGATGACGAGGGCGGCCTTGACTACGGTGGCCTCGCTCGCGAATGGATTTTTCTCTTGTCTCACGAAATGTTCAATCCCTTCTACGGGCTGTTTGAATACTCGTCCGAGACAAACTACACTCTTCAAATCAATCCCAACTCAATCACCAATCCAGACTGCCTCCGCCATTTCGAGTTTGTCGGGCGAATGGTGGGACTCGCCACCTTCCACCGTCACTTCATTGATGCCGCTTTCGTCAGTACATTCTACAAGCAACTACTGCGGCGACCGCTTCAACTCGGTGATCTTCAGCACGTCGATCCTGAGCTTCATCGAAGCATGATTTGGATTTTGTACGTCAATCAAGTCGCATGGGGTTGGTTGCCTGCCGGAAGGACAATCACTCACTCACGTTCATGCTCTTGTTGAATGCAGGGAGAACGACGTCACAGACGTGATTGACCAGACTTTCACGGTGGACGTCGACAAGTTTGGAATGACCGTCACTCAAGAGCTCATCCCGAACGGAGCTCAGATTCAGGTCACTGAAGACAACAAGAAGCGCTTTGTCGAGTATGTCACCGTCCCCACTGCTCCATGTGGAAGTGCTTCTGCATGCGTCTTACTGTTGGTTGTGCGTGTGCTCTGACCCACTCAGTGCGATGGCGCAGTGGCGCTTCTTCCGTGGCACCGAGCGACAGATGCGCGCATTCATGACTGGATTCTACGAGTTCGTTCCTCTTGAAGAGATTCGTCACCTCGACGAGAGCGAGCTCGAGGTACTGATTTGAGAGACGATTCGAGGGGCCGCCCGTCCGCGTCTGCTCATTCGAGGGGCCGCCCGTCCGCGTCTGCTCATTTTTTTTTCTTTGTTTTTTTTTTTGGTTTTTTTTTTGGTTTTTTTCTCTCCTCCTTTTGTTTGTGCGCAGTTTTTGATTTCAGGCCTTCGTCAGCTTGACATTGAAGATTGGGAAAATCACACTGATTACACCGGTTACGACAAGACCGATGAGCAAGTGATTTGGTTCTGGAAATGCTTGCGAGAAATGGATGCTGAAAAACAAGCCAAGCTGCTCCAGTTTGTTACTGGCACCTCTCGAGTAAGTAGAGCTACGTGCTATTTCTACATTCCCCAACTGTGAAGCACGTTGCTCACTCTTTTGACTTTCGGCTGTTTTATGTGCCGCAGGTTCCTCTGGAAGGGTTTCGGGCTCTGCAAGGTACGGGTGCTTTGGAGGCGGTTTCTTGTGTGCAACCACTGCAGCATGGACTAGTGATAGGCAAACTAACTGGTCCTTCTTGTGTTGTGTTCATTGTGCAGGAACCGATCGCGCCAGGCCATTCTGGATTCAGCGCATCCATGATGTCAGTCGCCTTCCAAGCAGCCACACTTGGTAAGAAGCAGATTTTACAAAGAAAGCTGACTCCCAAGAGAGAAGTCCTAACTGTTGCTCGTCTGAACCACCCAACAGCTTTAATCGACTCGATCTTCCTGCGTATAGCTCGTTCGAAATACTGCGCTCCAAGCTGCTGGCTGCGGTCGAAGGCTCGCAAGGCTTTACGAACGAATAGCGATGATATTGGATGGGTCTGGTGTATGGGGTGTGTGCACCGATGGTTTTATTGAATAGACGAGCCCATGCATAAGTCAAGGATGCATCCAGTTGTCCCAATGCTGTCGGGGAGGGTTTGGGACGCGACTATCGCTGAGGTGCAATCTCCTTGGGTAGAATTGCGGGGATGTTGCGGCAGGAGCAGGTACTGGTCGTGGTTGTTCTGTAGGCTCGAGGTGAGTGCTGTAGGCTGGATAAAAGTCGTATCGTGTCGTGAAGGTGTATCGAAAAGCCGAGCTGATGTTCGCGTCGAGTTGGCAATCTTCTCAGACGTAAGCAAGGGCGAAATTGAGTGTGCTTCAGAGTGAAACGCATGGAATGGCTCCTGAAGCAAGAGGTCGAAGCCGTCTGGGTCGGCAGGATTGAAATGATGCGATTGCTGCGTTACTGGGAATGGCGTAGAAGCAACGGTTCTCAAAGATCGAAGTCGTTGAAGAGCGGCTTGAGCTACTGAGACAACATTGGTATTGCGCTGTGGTATACTAGTACTTGTGCGTTTCATTTGCTTGGATTTGAGTTCTGGATGATCTGCAAAGGACAAACACAATCAATCCATTCAGCAAGCCAGGCTTCTCCCACGCACATATCCACTCATCTTGGGGGTGACAGAGCACAAATAATTGGGTACCCCACATGCAGCAGTACGTACCAGCAACGACATGCCGCAGAATTGTAAGCGTTGAGCGAATAGACCGATCAAGTTGCTCCGAGATCCGCTCCACGAGCTTGGAACGTGCTGGCTCTGCTGGTGTGTGCGGTGCAGCATGCGTTGTGGGTGCTAGTGGGGTACTTGCTCGCGGTAACAATGCCGGTGTTGAAGTTCGTGATCGAGGATTGGGAAGCGGATTGGACGCGCCAAGCGTGTAGACTTCAGCGAATGGTGAGGGACCAGGTGCGACATTCACCGTCTCTAAGGAGGCTACTCCAGCTTGTCGTGCTGGAGGTGCTTGTGCCGTCGGTGACGCCGGAACGCGTGGAAAATGCGATCGAGTCATTCGTCGCGAATGCTTGCCTTTAGCAAAAATGCCAGCTCCAAGAACGCGGGCGGTGGCTTGCGCCAGCATATTCTCGTGCGGCGGCAACAATGCGAGTGCTTCTCGTGACTCGGGAACTGCATTATCTGAGCTGGAGCCAGTGGCAGCAGTGATACTTGACAGCGGTTTAGATAGTTTCGCTTGAACGCGATGACGGGCAGCCTCGACATCAGCGCGCGTCTTTCTCTTGGATACATCCACAGGAGATCGTTGGTGAGCGCTCTGACGGGAAGGAGCGGTTGCAGAATTGGGTTTGGATTTCGCCGACGCAGACAACAATGGATGTGCTTTGGTTGATGCACCAAAACTAAAATGGAAGCAAAGGAACGAAGCAGTGTCAAGTGAGACAAGTTGTCAAACAAGCATGTGAAAATCGACAAAGTCCAAATCCAAGAGTGTGTTTTGAATTGTGCTCTGAGAGGCTGTTTTTTTTTTTTTTTTTTTTTTTTTTTTGGCGGGAGTTGAAACGCGCGTTTTTGAATCCGCGCGCGATTTGGCTGTTGAAAAGCGAGCGATGTGCCATCGCCTCGTGTGTGTGTGTGTGTGTGTGTGTGTGTGTGTGTGTGTGTGTGTGTGTGTGCAGGGTCGTTCTTGCGGTACTCGTTCATGGTAGAGCAATCTTTGCTCTGGAGGCTGTGGAGTGGACTGACGGGGGGCGGTAAATCGTTTTGGGCTGTGTGAGAAGCGGACGAGCGTTTACTTGTCTTGAAACAGCGAGAGGACGCGCTGTCGCTGCTCGCGGGCACTGGTCGACTCGTGCGACGCATCATCGGCAGCAACAGTAGCAGTAGATGTGGCTGTGTGGTTTTGAAGATGACTGGCGCGCGGCGGTGTGCGGGCGTCCGTCGGTCGCTTGGCTTGGCTGTGCTCCATTCTTGGCGGGCGTTTCCCCCCCCCCCAGTTCAATGAACAATGTTGGAACAATGAACGACTGGTCTGACGACGGGTTCTGGATTGGAAGATCGTCTGTGCATGGCCAGCATGCAAAAGCAGCCATGCAACACAAACTGAAGAAAAGGTGCAGTTTGTCTCTTTGCGGATGTGCACATTTCATCATTAAATTGGGCAAGCAGGATTTTAGTATTCCAGCAGCGCTCTCCCTGGTGTAATCGAGCATGCGATCGATCATGCAATCGAACATGACTTACAACGTAGATGAGCATACAAGCGTTGACGATGAAACAAGTGGTGGCTCCTTTTTTTTTTCTTTTTTTTTTGGTTTTTCAAACAAATCACCGGTTGATTCAACTCAGACGCTCAAAATACAATCATAGCACACTGTCAACGTATCTAGCATGTAGTACGCTCGTAGCTGTTCTGTGGTTATGCCTGCACGCCAAAGGGAACCGCTTGCCCAGCAATACCAGCGTACAGATTCTGCACGGCACGCATGCACATTGCATTGCGAGTGTTGAACGTTGCACTGCCAATGTGCGGAAGCACAAGACAGTTATCGAGGGTCAGGAGAGGATGCTGTGGAGACAGTGGCTCGGGTGAGGTGACGTCGAGACCAGCTCGGGCGATGCGACCCGTGGTCAGCGCTTCGTAGAGCGCGTCCTGGTCGACAATTCCGCCACGTGCCGAGTTGACAAATGTTGCAGTCGGCTTCATCAAGGCAAAGCGCTCCTTGTTGAACATGAGCTTTGTGTCGTCGGTCAAGGCACAGGTGGCAATCACGAAATCGCTTTCGCGCAAGAGCTGCTCGAGCGGCGTGTGCTGCGGAATCGGCGACGACGAGATGCTTCCATCGTCGTTCACAAAGCGGACTGTCGCGTGATTGACGAGTGCCTGAGCCGCAGGATTACGACCGGAATACAACAGCTTGCCAATGTTGAATCCAGCGAGACGACGCGCGACTGCCGCTCCGATGCGACCCAATCCAACAATGCCGACCGTGCTTCCCGAGATATCAGCGCCGCACATCCAGGTAATATGCCACGGCCCCCAGCGACCGTTCTTGACGCAGGCAGCAGCGGTCGGCAGCAGCCGCGCAGTGGACAGCAGAAGGCTCACTGTGAGATCGGCGGTCGCGTCGGTGAGCACGTCGGGCGTGTTCCCGACCTGCACCCCGCGCGCAGTGCATTCGTGGACTCCAACGTGGTCGTATCCGACCGAGACAGTGCTGACGACCTTGAGCTGCGGCCCTGCAGCGTCGAGCAGCTCGCCGTTGATCTTGTCCGACAGCGTGATGAGCAGGCCACTCGCACCAGCAGCACGGCGCAGCAGCTCTGGCCGCGGCATCGGTCCGCTCGACGCCCACTCGTCCAGGATGTACTTGCCTTCCCTGTGTCGGGTTTGTTCATGTTTGGTTGTTTGGAAGTCAAAACGTCAGTGAATTTGTCAACCAAACACAAAAACAGCCAAATCACGCAAGTCCACTGAATCTGCCCAGGATGGGGACGACGACGACGACGATGGGTACAATATGGATGGAGTGAGACTTACGCAGCACCAGAACGCAAAAGCGCCATTGCAGGCTCAGTCAGTTGGCGCGTCACTAAAATTCGCTGCATTTTGGTGATTCAAGTTTGAAACAACAGCAAACAAACAAACAAACAAACAAAATGACTGAGCAACAAACAAAATCTGAGACGATTTTTGCTTTACTCGATGAGGTTGATGTGAGAAGCGTCTCCCTGAACTGGGACGGTTCATGCAATGTTCATTCAGAGCAAACAGCAACATCAGCAATCGATCTTGTGGTTGAGCCTCATTTCCCCAAGTCCTCCTTTTTATTATTATCACTCTTGTATTATTCTTATTCTTACCAGTCCCCTCGTTCTGGATGAGGCGGCAATGACGATGGCTGCCAACTCGTGCTGCGACGCGCCGACGCTCGAGCTCATCCACGACACTGGCGAAACAGTAACCGAGCGCCCGTCCTTCATTCTGTTCAGCTTCTCAGTGGCCCGGTGTCTGACCTTTCATGTGTGTTTGGCTTGATCCTGGAGTAGGTCTGCGTCCAGTGCGGCGCGGTCGTCGATGCAGGCAGCCTCGTTGCGGCGCCGTGTGAGCGCATCCCTCGCTTTGCATCGTCGGGTCTGGCTGCAAGTGCGCGCCATCATGCTAGCAGTAGTGGTGGTGGTGGTGCTGCTGCTGCAAGTGGCGGTGGTGGCGTTGCGGCGGACAGTGCTTCGGTAATGGTCATCGCTCAGTCTCAGTCGCTCAGTCGCTCAGTCTCTCAGTCTCTCAGGTTGCAACCGAAAACCCTCACCACACTCATGTCACTTTTGTCAACACTTTTGTCAGAGTGGTCAAGGCCTCACGTTTGTGTCGAGCAACGCGCTGGACGAGCATGCGCAGTGGCTCGCCATCGCCAAAGCCGGGCCGCGCTCGCTCCAGTACAAGGCCAATGTCGGACTGGGAACCGATGGAATGACACGTCATATCTACATTGCTGCGTTGCAGGTTGGCAGAGTGCATGCGAATGCGGCTGTCTTCCGTCCAGGTCAAGGAAGTCTTGTATGTCAAATTTAGGTCTGAGAACTTTGCCAGTGTGCGTGTGATGAGCTCACTTCCACTCGGTATGGTTCACTCGGCCACTATCGCAGAGAGTACTTTCGTCGCGTTCGTGCAGCTGGCCCCTTTGGCGGCACGCTTGATTGCATCGCGGCGGCTTGCGTTTATGTTGTCTGTCGCGCGCATAGTATTCCTGCGACATTCCTCCAGCTGGCGGTAAGTGACTGCAGCATGCGTGTATTGCATGCGTTTTGATACGGTGAACGCACACCCCGATCACCGGCAGGTGTAGGCCACAAACTCACTTTTTGTTTCTTCCTTTTTTTTTCTTCCTTGTTTTTTTTTTTTTTTTTTTTGGCTCCCATTTGCACGTCGCCTGGCTTCCTCGTTCATTCTCCTTTATTCCTTAGGAAGCTGCTCAGGTCAATGTCTTTACCTTGCAACGCACGTTCGGGCGACTGGTGCAACATCTCAAACTATCGCTGCCTGCCGTGAACGAAGTGGCACTCGTGGAATCTGTCGTTAAGGCTGTGCCTGAGCTTTCGCATGAAGCAGTCCCGATTCTATCTCAGGTAGCTGATGCGTTCGTTGACGATGATCCGATGGTGTCTTGGAGTTGCTCGCGCTTGCTCAATCTGGCCATCACAGTATGCAATCTGCTTGCTGGAGCTTGGCAAGCAGTCCTGGGTTTCTTCTGGGCGAAGACCGCTTCCAATCGCTCTTGCTGCAACAGACTTGGCCAACCAGATTTATGCTCAAAACGAAAATCTTCCGAGTATTCTTCCGCAGGTAGGTCTTGATTTTTTTTTTGATTTTTTTTTTTGTTGCCGGGGTGGAGAAGGAGGGTGACGATTTGTTCATAAATCTGCCACATGGTCACTTGCCATGATGTCCAGAGACCGTACTTCTAACCACAATAACTGTTCTGACAAACTTTTCGCTTGAACAGCTCTGCGAGAAATTTGGCGTTCATATCAACACAGCTCGTGCTCGTGCTCGCGAGCTGCGACTGAATCTGCTGCAGCACGCCCAGGCTCTGCCCTGGCGGGCCAACATCACCGAACGCAATGTTGTCGCGCATGTCAAGTTGCTGGTGGAGAATCCTTCGTCGTTCACTGGTCTCCGGCCCGTGGACTGCGACGCGGAAGGCAATGCACCAACGACCCTGGCGGTTGCAGACAAGAGTGCCACGAGTAGCTCGGTTGCGAGCGGTGTGCCGCGCTCGTTTGTGTTGGCAACACGCAACTCGGAGCTGCGAATGGCCAAGCTCGAAGCGGCCAAGGCTCGTCTGGTTGCTATTCTCGCTCTCTCTACTGCGCAAACCCAGGAATTGGAAGCGAGTCTGGCTGCCGATCGCGACATGGTCGATCTGCTTTTGGAGCGATTGCTCTTGCACGGTGTTGTAAGGAGTTGGGGTTTGTTTTTTTGTTTTGGTTTTTTGTTTGTTTGTTTGTTTGTTTTCAAACTCAATCTTGTGATTGTTGTCCTTCTGTGCACGCAATGCGTAAATCTTACAGAGCGACACAGACTTGTTGGCACGCTCAGTGTCGCAGCTACACGACATGGCCGAACGCATTGGGCAAGCAACGACAGAATTCGAGACGGACGAAACGCTTACCCCTATGTCGGATGCAGATTCTGCTCTTTACATTCGATCTGCGGCAGAGGTTAGACTCCGAATTCATGAATCTACTGCTCTGCATCTTGTTGTGCCGATTGAGACTGATCGGGGTTGTTGTTGTGCTATTTGTTGTGCAATTTTGCTAGATTTCCTTACTCAGCCAGCTGGACGCCAAGCAAAGAGCGGCAGACCCAGAGACATCACGCTCAACCAAGCGAGCACGACTCGACACAGAAGATGTCTAGTTTGTGGATGTTTGTGTGTCGTTATTGAGTTATTTATTTTATCTGTTTGAGTTTTCATGCTTGTACATCGTGTTAGTATTTCCCAAACGCTTCGCTTGTGTGTACTTGTTCGTGTTTTATCTATACGACTATGTATCTCGTGCAATAAGCAGGGCAGGTCGATGAGAAGTGGTGTTTGGCAAAGCGCTCTCTGAATGGCAGGACAATGCTGACTAGCGCCGTAATGTTTGGCAGGTCCACAAGCCCCGGGAACTGTTTTCTACAGAAACATGTATTCGAGATACGCACACAGAACCTACCAAACTATAGACGGGCAATTGATGGAAAAAGGACAATGCAAGCAAAGCAACTGACATGACTCGATAGCAGCGATGTTTGTTTTTTGAGATTCGGAATTAATCATGTTGCGACCATGTGGCGAGGTATTCCGTCATACAAATCAACAAAAATGTTGGCAATAATATGTACAGTGTGATTGCAAAGCACCGGCGCGCGGTGAGGGGTGTGTAGGCAGGAGTGGGATGGTTTGGAGTTGGTATTTTGGGTTTTCCGTTGTCATATTTTATTGTGAGTTCGTTCGTTTTTCCCCCCCCCCCCTCTCCTTTATGTTTCAAGTGGGCGTCCGTACTTGTCATCCTCGTCCATGCCATTGTTGTGTTGTTGTGTTTTTCAGTCTTTTGATGTTAGTCTTTGTTCGTTGTTGTGGCGGCGCTTTTTTTTTGTTTTGTTTGCGTCGCTGCCGCACTTTTCGTGCGTTTGGCACAGCCTGGAGTCTGTACTCTGCGTTTGAGAGATGATTTGTGAAAGCACAACCAATGAGACTGACTGAAACAACCGCGTTGTTCCGATGGATTGAAAGTCAACAATGTTGTCGTACCAGAGCATGAGCGCGAAACAGCGGGAGTTGTACGACAAAGTCAAGAATGCCAGTCAATGGTTCGAGTAAGAAAAAGCCGGAAATATTGGAAAGAAAGTACAACAACATGTGTACTGATGAAATGGAGGATAGACTGCCATACAATCAAATTGACGATGCCGGCGCACAGGCGATTGCTGAGGGACTCAAAAGCAATTCGAAGGTGACGGGACTCTCGTAAGTCATCTCGCTTCGAGTGATGAGTGTGAATGGGTGGCTTCGGCAGAGTGGCTCACTATGGGAGGGGATGGACAGTCTGTGGAGCAACCAAATTGGTGATGCTGGAGCGCGGGTGATTGCTGAGACACTCAAAGTCAATATGACGATAACTGAACTCGAGTAGGTCGTCTCACTTTGACAAGTGCATGTGAGTGGGCGATCTAGTAGAGGGCATTACGAGTGCTTACTGATGGACGGACAGTCTGAACTACAATCAGATTGGCGATGCTGGGGCACAAGCGATTGCTGAGACACTCAAAGTGAACACGACGTTGATCAAGATCGAGTAAGGGGTGTCACTTTCCCTCAGCAGGGTGCATTTAGAGTGCTCATTGATGGAGGGGATGTACAGTCTGCATGGGAATCAGATTGGCGATGCTGGAGCACAGGCGATTGCTGAAACGCTCAAGGTCAACACAACAGTCACTAACCTCGGGTAAGTCATCTCACTTTGACGTGAGTCGATGATCCAGCAGAGGTGTTCATAGTGCTTACTAATGACTGAACAGTTTGTACAATAATAAGCTTGGCGATGCTGGAGCGACGGCGATGGCTGAGATGCTCAAAGTGAACAAGATGCTGACATCGCTCGGGTAAGGCATCTCACATTAACTGATAATTGTCAATGGTGATGTCAGCAGATGGTCTTCAGATTGCTTACTGATGGAGGGGGATGGGCAGTTTAAGCTCGAATCTGATTGCCGATGCTGGAGCGCTGGCGATCGCTGAGGCACTCAGGGTGAACACAACGATGACTTCACTCGGGTAAGCTGAATCACTTAGCAATGCAAATACATGAGCGGAGGATTTCAGAAAATGGCATTCAGAGTGCGCATTCATGATGACGAGGACGGACAGAATGGGCCATTATCAGATTGGCGATGCTGGAGCGAACGCAATTGCCGAGTCACTCAAAGTGAAC